GGAGGGGACCTGGGGGAGGGTTTGTAAAACAATGAAAGAATCTTTTCTTTTACTTTTCCATAAAAAAAAAAAAAAAAGATTACAGAGTTTATAGCATATTTCTATCTTTTATTCACTAAATAGTAGTTCTTTTTCATAAACAGCATTAAACCTACTCTCTCAAAGTGTGGTCAAATGCAAACCTGAATGTATTTTCTTTCTACCTTATAGTTTATGCACAGAATGGTGAAAGAATTCCAAAATCAGATCTATTATACAATAGAAAATAATTACCAGAAATTTTAGTGAGGGTCATTTTCTTTAATCTAAACGTTTCCCTAACCCACACAGAATCATTAATTAGTGTCACAGTATTTGCATGTTTTGAGGGACTGAATCACCCTAGAGAAATCTGCATGGCTTGACTCAAGAAGATCTCTTCGGGACTGGATGAAAACAGACTTTGTATTGTAATTATTCTCACTGACCTATTAGTTTCCATGATTTTCTATCTTTTATTCTCAAATGTTTTAGAAACTTAGCTTTATATTCATAAATTCTAGTGCTCTTAACACATTCAGACAAATCACAAGTTATTACATGCCCTTCTCAGAGAAATCTGGATAAAAGAAATATATTATTTTTATTTTTACTATTTACATCCATAAATATTTACTTCTCAAATAATAAGTTATTTTTTAGTGTTTTTTTCCTACTTGGAAGACTCTAGAATGCTGGGATAAAACATAAGATTTTAATCTATCCTTTCTAAGATTATAAATAGATTATTAAAGAATGCAGGTAAGATCATAAAATAATTCCATTAAGTAGTACACAAATAAGTATTTAAGGTTATTTGTATTTTAATAATTGGAGCAGGTTTTTACTGAAGTCTCTTAAATGAACAAATGAAAATATTTAACCAACGTCTTACTTTTGGTCCATGTGCTACTACATTCAACAGGGAATGAGAGATTACTATTGAAAGCAAAGCAAAATGTGTTCTTAATAATCACAAGGATATTTAATGGATTTTCACTTTTCAAAGTGTTAAAAACTATAGTAAAAAACACAAGCTTATTTTATAATCATATAATTAATACAATTTTATGTTTTTACAATAAGATAGAAATGTAGTAATTAAGATTGCACCATCCTCTGTGTGATCCTATAGTTTTCAGAGGCTGTAAATTGCATGGAAAGAGACTGTGAAGGTTGTTATAGTATAGAATGATTTTAAAAGAATTGATTAAAATCTTAGTTCCAACTTAATGACTAGCCACAAGTGAACTTGCTTTTAGTCCTTGGAAAAGACATTATGCTGAGCAGAGTAAAAAGTATACAAAAGATGGAAAGTTTCTCAATGGTTTTGATTGACACAGTGACTGGCTACTTCACTGAAACATAAGTCAAAATTCACCTCAAAATGTTCACAATCTAATTAAGAATTTTTTATATACATAAAAAAGCTATGAGGATTATATATGATAAATTCTAGCTTAACTATTCAATATATGTTTGCAGACTCTGAAAATAGAGACAATGTAATCTGGTTTATTTTTAAAAGTATGTAAATTATACCTTAAATAAGGAGCTCTGGTGACTTAGTACTGAGGAATTAAATTGCCAACCCGAAGGCACATGTTCAAATCCAGTAGATGTTATGTGGGAGAAAGATTGGCAGTCTCTTCCCATGCAATTTACAGCCTCTGAAAAGCCAGCTATGAGTCAGTTCCAAATTGATGTACATAACAACATGACTTACACAGAGGATGGTAGAAGTGTAGCTACTTAGTCAAAATGCCAAATAGCTCCATTTGCAATGATAATTTGTAGGAAATAATAACTTGAGCAAAGTCAGTATTTATGGAAATAGGTGGGAATGACTTTGAGAAATAAGGGGGAGAGTTGAACAGTGGATAGACACAGTGATAATGTGGGAAGAGTTATTGGTGACTGTAAGTAATGGCTGTTTATGAACTCTTATAGATGTATGTACATACATATATATGGTCTTAATTATTACAGTGTGGTCATCATACCATATAATATTAGAGCAACAGATATTTTTTCAGGCTAGAAATTTATATAAATAAATAAATAAATACATAACTAACTAACTAATATATATTCTAATATGTAGAGTTCATAAGACAATGCAAATACTTATATTGAGAATATTATAACTACAATTTCCTATATTATCCCACTATCTTTATGTAAATTCATGAACACAAACCATTCCATGGGTAGAATTTTAAAAATATTCTTGTGATTGGGATTTTTGTGCTTCAGTGATTGTGGTCATTAAGGTAACAGTTTAGGGGAAATAATATTCCCTGACTTCAATATTTGTGCTTATATTTCAGAGACAACAGGTGAAACTCACAGAAGTGGCTCTACTTACAGTCAAAGAGAATCTGAAGTGAATATTAGAAACATTAAGTTAGAATCTTCTCTGTCCATATCTCAACAGAGAATGAAAAGATGATCACAAACAATCACTCCTTCACAAACGAATTTATTCTTGTAGGCCTAACCTATCACTCAGAACTGAAGACCCTTCTGTTTGTGATGTTCTTTGCAATTTATCTGATCACTATGGTGGGGAATCTAGGTTTGGTTGCATTGATCGTCATGGAGCACCGTCTTCACACACCAATGTACATCTTTCTGGGAAACTTGGCTTTGATGGATTCTTGCTGTTCTAGTTCCATTACCCCTAAGATGCTAGAGAACTTATTTTCTAAGGACAAAATGATTTCCCTCTATGAATGCATGACACAATTTTATTTTTTCTCTTTTGCGGAAACCGCAAACTGCTTTCTCTTGGCAGTAATGGCCTATGATCGTTATGTGGCAATATGCAGTCCACTGCAGTACCACTCCAGGATGTCAAAGAAACTCTGCATTCGGATGACCATTGGAGTTTACATAGCTGGCAGCCTCCATGCCTTGTTTCACGTAGTGCTTTTATTAAGGTTAAACTTCTGTGGACCTCATCAAATCAATCACTTTTTCTGTGATATTCTTCCATTATTCAGACTCTCCTGCGTTGACCCTTATATCAATGAGCTGATGCTTCTTCTCTTGTCAGGATCAATTCAAAGTTTCACTATTACCATTGTCTTAATATCTTACCTTTGCATCATTTTCACTATTTTCAAAATGAAATCCAGAGAGGGAAAAGGCAAAGCCTTATCTACCTGTGCATCTCACTTTCTCTCTGTCTCAATATTCTATGGTTCTCTTCTCTTCATTTACGTTCGACCAAGTTCAGCTAAAGGTGGGGATGAAGACATAACAGTTGCTATTTTTTATACCCTGATAATCCCCTTTTTAAATCCTTTTATCTACAGTCTACGAAACAAAGAAGTAATAAATGTAATGAAAAAAATAATAAAGAAATCCTAATAATTAATAATTAATATTCTAATAATAACTCTGATACAATTATTCTCCCGGTTGGTAGATTATATTTAAGAACATTTTTCTGAAGGCAAAGATACTGAGAAAATGGAAAGTGATCATATTGTATATTAAATATAAAATTTCCTAACCGTAACCTAAAATTATCTAACATATTATGAAGATATTTTAAGTACAAATGATATATAAATTGTTTCATCTCATTTATTCTGAAAAAAAATTTGGTAAAATGAATTTCAAAACCTAAGCCACAAGCATCTCTTAAAATAGCATTAATGTGAATGATATTAGTTCATATGAAATTAGTTAGCACATAGGAATAAAATTCAGTCCTCTTAATATTATTGGCCAATTTATCAAATCTGTAAGCATAATATTAGAAACTCACATGAATATCATTCCTAACATATTATGTAAGCCGCACTGTCTATCAGAAGTTGTGTAACAATGAATGAGTGAAAATCTAACTTCTCTGTAAACATTTGTTAAAATCACAATTAAAATAAAATTTTATTTACAAAACAAAATTATACAGGTTGTAAATTTGAAATTAATTCTCAACTCTCTTTGAAGTATCAAAAATTTTTACTTGAATACAGATTTATAGAGAATATATATAATCAAGAACTTTTTTATTTTTTCTTATTTCTGTTTCACACCATCTGGTCAGAATTAGCTCCAACTGACCTCCTAGTGGATTTTTTCAGAGGCTGTAAATCACAAGAGAGAAAATTGCTGTCTTTGCCCTTGAGTTGACAACACAACCCCTTACCACTAGGCCACCAGAGCTCCCTCTTTATCTTTAATATTAGTAATTTTTCTTTTTTTACTTTCTAAATAGGGACTATTTTTACAGTGACAATTTATCAATCTTTAATTGAAAACAATGCTATCAATATTAAAAATGCTATTGATTTGAATGTTACCAAATCACTTAATATTTATCTGTGATGCATGATGGTATGATTTAGAGATTTTTTTTCAGGCACCTATCTTGTCTTATTTGTTCTTAGGACATCACTAAAATGCACTAATTATTTCCAATGTAAATTACTGATAAATAATGGTGTTATTTGATAGATAGATGGAAAAGAGATTAAGATTGTTAACAATTTCAGCTTGTTTGTCTCCGCAATCAACACTCTTGGTACCAGCAGTCAGGAAATCAAAAGGTAAATTGTATTAAAGAAATCTGCTTCCAGGAACCTCACCAAAGTGCTAAAGAGCAATGATGTCAGTCCAGAGACTAAGGTGAGCTTGATTCAGGTTGTGGTCTTCACAGTTACTTGCTATGCATCAGAAAACTGAACAATGACTAAGAATGACAGAAGAATTAATTGATGCTTTTGAGTTGTGGTGCTGGAGAAGACTCTTGAACATACAATGGACCACCAAGAAAACAAACAGGTCTGTCTTGGAGAGGGTTGCCCAAGCTCAAGCTGCTCCTTGGAGGCAAGGATTTTTAAGCTCTGTCTAACATACTTTGGGCATGTTGCCAGGAGACACAGGTCCTTGCAGAAGGACATCATGCTGGGAAGGGTGGAGGGACAGTGCAGGAGAGAAAGATCCCTGCTGAGATGGATTGACACAGTAACTGGAGTAATGAGGATAAATGTGTCAGACATAGTGAGACTGGCTCAGGATAGGTCAGGGTTCAGAGTTATCATACATAGGGTTGCTACGTGTTGCAGAAAACTTGATGGCACATAACCACAACAGTTGGTATTAAAGAAAGTGAAATTTGCTGCTTAGCTTAAGTGAGACTAAAAATAGAGAAAAATAAGAAAATAAAATTGTTTCCTGACAATTTAATGTGTAAATATGAAAGGAAAAATACTTTTATG